GAGTAACTCTGCAGAGTCCTCTGTACATGTTGTGCAAAATTGACATATTTGCCAAATTCACTGTTCCACTAGAAGCTTGAAATGAAATTGGACATCATCACAATGTCATTAACCTTGGTCTCTGCCAGCCATGAGTTTACAGTCTTAAACTCTTAAACTCAGTCTTAAAATCATTGAAATAAATTTGAATATTGGGCCATATCGGAGTCAAATACCGTCCGAGAGTGAGACAAGGAACTCTATTATACATAACAACTAGTAGGTGGTATGTTAGATATTCACAACATTATTTTCTCCAATCAGACTCATTTGATATTCAGTACAGTGAGGAAAAATATCTCAAATTGGCTTTAATGAGATTCATTTGCATGGTGTGTTATAATGTTCAACTGCTTCTGTTTCCCTAAATGATTTGGAACATGTGAGCATTTGATGTAGGAATAAGATTTGGCTATTTTGCCCTTTAGAACCTGTCCCAACATTTAATAAAATCATGGCTGAGCTGGTTGTGATCTCAGCACCACTTTCCCGTCTGCCACCCATAACTTTGGGCTCCTTCCTCTATTAAAAATCTATCAAACTCAACCCTGAATAAATTTAAAGATTCAGTTTGCACTACCTCTCAGGAAGAGAATGGCCCTCAGAGAAAACAAAATCCTGCTCAAATCTGTCTTAAAAGAGAAACCGCTTAATTTAAACTATGTTCTCTAGTTTTAGTCTCACTGACTAGTCATAACATTCTCTGGTTATCCATCCTGCCCAGATCTGTCAACATCTTATACATTTCAATAAGATCACATCTCATTTATTCAAACTCCACCTGTTCAATAAATCTTCATAAGAAAAGCCCTTCATTGCAGCAAAACGTCAAGTAATGCTGCTCTGAACTGAGTCCAAAGCAATTATGTTTTTCTTAAAGGGACCAAAATTGTAACAAAGTACTCTGGACATGTTCTTACCTACACCCTCTATAGTTGCAGTAACACTTCCCGACTTTTATCTTGCAATCCTCTCGCAAGAAGCAGAAACATTCTATTTGCCTTCCTAATCATTCGTTGTGGTTACATGCGACCTTTTAGATTCATGCACCAGGAGCCTGCTCTGTACTACCGAGTGCCTTTCTATTTAAATACTATGTACTTTTCTACATTCCTGCTCAAATGGGCAGGTTTATACAACATCGACCAATTTTTGCCCACTCAGTTAATCTATCGATATCTCTTTGCAAACTCTCACCTCCTCTTGACAACTCACTTTCCTACATTGGCAAATTTAGCTACCATATGTTCAGTCCATGAATCCAAATCTTTGAGAGAAATAATAAATAGTTGAGGCTCCAGCACTGATCCCTGTGACACTACTTGCAGCTTGTTCAAAAAATACCCATTGATCCCTAATTTTTGCTATCTGTTAGTGAAGCAACCCTTTATCTATGCTGATGTTACCCCCACACCATGCACTTTATCTTGTGTAGCAAACTTTATCATCTTATCAAATGCCTTTTAGAGATCCAAGTACATCACATCTACCAGTTCCTCTGAGTGTCACTTCATCACTTAACTCTAGAGATTAATGGACCGCAATTTCCCTTTCAGCACAGCATGTCAGCCTTGCCTGATCACATTATGGTCTTCTAAGGACCCTCTATAACCTTCTTAATAATGGATTTTAGCATCTTCAGATGTTAGACTAACTGGCCTGTAGTTTCCTGCTTTCTGCTTCAATACGTTTTTGCATAAAGTTGGTGTATCTGCTATTTTCTAATTCGCTGGAACTATGGAATCTAATGAATTTCAGAAGATTATCACCCTACATATCTATTATCTAGGCTTCCACTTCTTTTAAGACTTAGGGATACCAGTTATCCAGTCCTAGAGATTTGTCAGCCTTTAGGTCTAATCATTTTCCAAGTGCCTTTTCCCTGGTGATGCTATTGTTTACAGTTCATGTCTCTTTGTCACTCTTGATTTTCAATCATCTTTAGGAACCGTTCTAAGTTCCAACTGTGAAGGCAGATGTAAAATATTGTTCAAAACATTCTCTATTTGTTTGCTTAGCAAATTCCCCAGACTCTCTCTAGATGACCAACAGTAGCTTGGGCTACTATTTTCCTAGTCAGATATTTGTGAAAACTCTTACTATCTCTTTTTAAAATCTCGCTTTCTCTCAGACTCTGCTTTTTGCATGCTTATTATCCTATTAAGTCATTCTTTGTTGGTTCTTAAATTCTGTCCAATTCTCTGACCTACCACCAACATTTAGAGATTTGTACCGTGTTTCTTCTGATTGAATTATATTGTTAACCAATACAATACTATGCTTGATTTACTTATTAGCATGAATCTTTTCTAATAACCTTTCTTTCTCACTGGTATAATCTTTACTGAATGATGTTAAATATTTCCTTAAAAGTCTACTATGGCAGCTCTACAGAATCATAGTATTGTTATGGCACAAAAGGAGGCCATTCAGCCCATTTTGCCAGCACCAGTTCTATTATCTCATGCCAATCCCCTACCTTTTCCCTATATCCCTGAATATCATTTCTATCCAAACGATCATCCAATGCTCTCTTGAATGTCTCATTGAAACTACCTGCACCACATCTTCAGGCAGTGCAATACATACCCTAACTCCCCGCTGTGCGAAAAAGTTTCTTCTCACATCACCCTTGCTTTGTTTGCATAACACTTCAATGCAAATTCCTTTTTATTTGCTAACTATTCTGTTTCGATTCAAATGAACTCAAATACAATGTTCATGCCATTTGCCATTTGTGCTTCCTGAGGTGCATACCTCCGGCTTTGAATCAGCATTTTATACAGCAAGCAGTCAGGGTTGGGATTGCACTACCTGAGAATGTGGTGGAGGTAGTTTCTTTGAAGACAGAGTTAAAAAAAACTGCACTGCTATGCAGAATAAGTGGTGGAGTAAGACTGGCTAAGCAGCTGTTACAGAGAGTCAGCATGGATACAACAGACCAAACAGCCTTCTTCTGCACTTAACTTTTATGAATCTACATCTCTTGATTCCTTTTGCTGCCTAAAAGTGAAATGACTGATGGTGCAGCGATGAAAGATTAAATCTGTGAAAAGAGGGATGCTGAATAATTTAAGTACTTTATTCATTTGGATTAGGAAACTATGAAGGGCAAGGAGCTATGAAACATGCTAGATCTTTGGTGCAGTTCAGCTCTACTGTCAAGCAAATTCAGATAACGGATTTATTTAGACAATTGCTTTTTATATAGAAAAGATACATTCCTAACTTAATATGTAGAATTCCTTGCTTTAAAGTCCAAGATAGCTCAGAAGAATTATATATCACCAAAGGATAATTTCAAACTAAAAGTCTTCATGCAATTTTCACTTGATTAAATCTCTAGCATAATAAAATATGCTTGACTGCCTTACCCCACAACCGATAAAGCAGCCAATCACATTTAAGTATTCTTAATCACATTTAAGTATTCTCATAGACAGTAAATTAGGAGGGTAAAGGTGTTGACTACATAACTTCTAATTTACATTTTTAGATGGTGGATAGTGGGCTAAATAATTATGATTGGATTCAAACAGAAGCAAATATGTCATACAACCTTAAAAATGTTGGGGTTTTAATTATCAAGAAAAAATTGAGATTTTACAAATACAAATTTAGTTTTCAGGGGCCGAGAGGGTATTTTAGAGTAACTATGGGATTTGTACATTATGTAGTGTCCCTCATTTGACGAGACATAACTTTTCAAAAGATTTTTTAAAACACGACTTCACAGAATAGACCTGGGAACTTTTATCCATTTGCTGATTGTTTAGAGATGGCAATCTGGTTGGCGGGAAGCAGGGATGGGGGGGATGCGGCATCCTCTAGAGTGCATTTTTTTAGAGCAGAGGACTGCTAGGAATAACTTCCGAATTGCCATGTCACTCCGTGCAGATGCGGAGACTCCTAAAGTTGCTGTTTCACCATCATTACATCGCTGAAATCCAGACCTAGGTACATGACTTTGCAAGCACCCAAATTAGCTCCAATCATTAAAAATCCAACCTCAATTTGGCAGCCGCATTTCATTTATCAGTGAGTTGAATTTCTCTTTTTGGCAATAAAGTAATCACAACTTGCTGTCAATGTTATTAAAACTAGCAGAGAAATGTAGTAAATGTTATTTTGGAAAGGAAAAATAAAGGGAATGATTGAAGTTTTATCTTAAAGGCTGAAGCAAAGCTCTTTTTGGAGCTGAATAAAGTTTATGTTTTTGTTTCCAAACTCGTGATCACTACGATATAGAAGTACAGGGGTGGCAAATACATGGCAATGCCACCACCTGCAAGTTCCCCTCTAACCACTCACCAAAATATATTGTTTACTTCAATGTCACTGACTCAAAATCCTCCCCAACAGCTTTATATGTCTACGTACAGCACACAGTCTGTACAGATTCAAAAAGGCAGATTACCACCACCTTCTCAAGGACAACTCAAGATGGCCAATAAATGCTGAACCAGCCAATGATGCCCACTATCCAAAAAAAAAGAAACTTGTATACTTAAAATCTTTATATTTAAAAGTTATTTAAATTTTCATATCCAGAAGTTGTCCAAACTGGAAGGAGTCAGACTTGAAACCAGAATAGAATTGATTGATATGTGTATGGGTGTCACTAACAGCACTGATAAGCATGTATCCCTTAGTCAGGGAAATGAACAGCTACTGTTCCTGATGCCGATCCCGATCCTAGAGTATGACTCTTGTCAGTTCACATATCTACCATCCAAGATTGGGCTTGATAACATAATAATGTGGCGACCCTCTATATCTGGAAAGCTAAAGTTGGTGTGGTACAGGAACGTTGCAGCATCTGAGGAATAGTGCATGTAGTATACCATTACGTTTGTGGGAAAAGGTCGGGGGGGGGGCTAAATGAAGGAAAAAAAAATGTATTGCGTGATCCACCTTGAGCGTGTTTAACCCTGATAATTAGAACCATGAATAAAAATTACCATGGTGGTGGCAGGTCTCGTCTGTGCCTGTTGTGCCTGTGGCTGGGGTTGTGTCTGGGGCTGGGGTTGACCTGCTGATTGCTGAAGACTCTGCTGCCGCGGCTGTTGTTGTTGTTGTTGAGGTTGCTGTGCCTGTTGTTGTTGTTGAGGTTGCAGCAGCGCCTGTTGTTGTTGTTGTTGTTGAGGTTGCAGCAGCGCCTGTTGTTGTTGTTGTTGTTGTTGAGGTTGCCGCAGCAGCGCCGGCTGCTGTTGTTGGGCGGGCCCTGGATGTTGCTGTTGCTGTTGATGAGGCTGGGCTTGGCGTGGTTGCTGCTGCTGCGCTGGCGCCGCTCTTTGCTGCGATGGTGCAGGCCGCTGAGAATGACTCCTCGACGAGGCAGGTTGGCTGTGCTGGGCCCGGCCTTGTTGCTGAGGAGATTCCGACTGTTTCCTGGCTGCCTGTTGCTGCTGCTGAGAGTGCTTCTGTGACCGGGACGCCTCAGCTTCCGGGTGATGCCCAGATGACCGAGGCTGGGTCCACTCGGCAGAAGCCGAGTGAGGGTCTCGTTGGGATCTCTGCTCGGCCGATTGGCCTCTCCTCTGCGGAGGCTGCTGAGCGTATTGCCGGGATTCTTGGCGATGCTGCTCTTTCGGATGCTGCCTTGACGACTTGCGGGAAGGCTCATCAGTGGCGTGGCGTGAAGAGTGGCGGGCCGGCTCTCCGTACTGGTACGCAGGCTGCTTCTGGTGATCCTTTGAGGAGTACCGCGACTGTGAGCGCTCCGCTTGCTGCCAGCTCTCATCCGCTGGTGTCTCCTCATAGTTGTGGCGCGAGTGGTTTCGGTGGCTGCGCCTCTGCGATGAAGACTGTCCACCGTAATGCCTGGAGCGCTCCTTCGGCTTTTCGAACCAGTCTGTCTCCTCTTGGCCCAAGTGATAGGCTTCAAAAACCAAAAACACATTACAGTCACTCTGTTCTCCTGCTGTGCCTGTGGTAGCCATGCAAAGGATCAGTGCAGGCAGCTTGCCACATGCAGGGAGCTCCAGGACAAGTAACTCGACAAACAGAATAGACCAACAAAACACATCACTGAACATACATACTACCAACAGAAATAATGAGCTGTGCAGCATGCTAAAAGTGGTTTTAAAAAGTGCATACAAAAGGGTAAAGGCACACGCCAATCAATTAGGCTTTAACCTTGTAAGAATTAAGTCTGTTTTATACATGCACAAATTTACATTGATGAAAAGCTGTTTCTTTCTGTTGGAAACTTTGAACCGAACATGCTTTGTAAATGATCTGTGTTAAGTTGATGAGATCACCAGTCATATTCGTTACCTTCACTGTCAGAAACAGCACAGTGCATATCATCCATGACGTAACCATCGTCCTCTCTGTAGGTATGGCTACGTGATGACTCTTTCACATCCTGAACATCAGGCAGGGAGTGGCTGGAGCCAAATTGGGATCTACTATCTACAACGTTTGGTGGGAGGGATTCTCTAGAGGTCCGTGCCACATGCATCTGGTTTCCCGTAGGACTCAGAGGACTTTCCTCTTCAGATGCCTGGGATTTTACTGGAGCCCGGCCTCGACTATGGCTCGTTCCTATCTTTTGAGACCTCTCCATTGTGTCTCTTTCATAAGATTTACTTCTTGGACTTGCTGCTTCTTTGCCTGCTTTTTCCATTCCATACATTGAAGATGACCTTGGTCTGTTGCTGTATCCTCTCTCTGAATCTTCCATTGCTTCTCTACTAATGTGACCAGAATATCTCTGCTGGTCATAAATATTTTTCTTGAGACCATATGTTATTTCGTCCTGAAGCTTCTGCGCCCTAAGGATTACATTATTTCCTGCAGCTGAAGTTGTGACAGTATATGAAGCAAAATCAGATTCCACATCTTTGGCTTCTTCTATAGGAGAAAACTTGGAGATTTTCTGTTCTATGTTTTGCTTTCTGTGTTTGCTGCGCTTGCTAGATACTACAGCAGGAGCCATTTGTTTTGATGAATGCTTTTGAGACCCATAAGAAGAGTTGTGCTTGTCTGTGCGGGAAGGATGTCTGTGATTGTTATCTGCATAGTAATATCCACTTGAAGAACTTGATATTCTGCTATGGCTATCAGAATTCCTTTGGTATCCATTCTTCCCTCGATGGTCTGATACCTGGACGTCGTACATGTCTTCCTCTGATTCATCATCCACTTTATTGTAAGCATGTGTTCTAGTGGAGTTGGTTGACTCTGGGAAGTCGTTTTTTTCTTTAGCATGCCTTGAACTACTATGTTGAGCAGGCTGATCTACTTTCTGGCTTTCTGTTGCTGAGGTATTCTCTTTGGTCAATTCACTGATATCATCAATCATAACATAATTACGAGAAACATTGTGCTCCAGGTTTGTATACAGAGAGTCAGCTGAATAGTTAGTTGAAGGACTTTCTATTGCATTTCCACCATCAGTAACTCTCAAATCTGCATTCTTATACTGGTCATAGCTGTTACTCATTGTTGCGGTTGTGTAAATTTTGTCTGTTGGAGTCGCAGAAATAATTGCATTTGGATTACCAATCACTTCATAATTGGTGGGTATTTTCTGTTCAAGATCTGCTAATGATGTTTGCCGAGGTTTCTGATGCTGTGACAGGATGTTTGTCTGTTGCTGATACTGAGCATTGTGACCAGACTGAAATGAAGCCTGATTTGTATAAGTGGCAGGAGCTTGGTACTGGTTCGATGGTTGAAGTCCAGTTACATTCTGTAAACTACCGTCAGTCTGGTAATTTGTGTTCTGGGGATATGCATGTGGCTGAAAAGTGTTCTGAGAATGTAAAGTGGAGTGAGACTGAAGATTGCTTTGGGACTGGTAAGTGTTGGGAACTGGGTACTGAGATGTCTGATAACCTGCAGTTTGGTAAGTTGTCAAACCCTGAGGAGTGGTCTGTGATGGAGGGTACTGAGACGATGTGGTTGGGTGCTGTGACATTGAGTATTCAGAATACTGATTAACTGGGGCAGTTTGTGGCCTAGCTAAGACATTGTTGCTATTATACGATGGCATTCGGATATTATTGACTTCACTGTCTGACATATAGTCTCTGTCTTCTCCTAAGCCTCGCACATAGCCCACGTCTCGCTTTGTTGGTTCTTTGACAAAGGTTTCCTTTCTACGATTAATTCCCAGTTCGATGTAACGAAGCTTTGCATCAATTTCCTTTTCTTCTTCATCAAGTTCTGCCTGTTTCTTCTGCAGTTTGTTTGATTCTTGCTCCACTTTCTCTAGCTCATGGCTGATATCCTTAAGGAGTCTATCGCGAGTGACTTGGTCAGGTAGAGTTCCCCGTTTCCGGGGTAGGGAGGTTCCAAACAGCTGTGGATGAAGTTGTGTACTGCTATGTATTATTTCTTCAGGTGGAGGACTAGGCAGGGTTCTTTTCACTTTCTTCGTAGTGCTCTGCTGCCAAGTTCCAATCTGAGAAAACAAAATTGTACATTTTCAATGCTACTGTGAAGAACATCGTGTCATTTTGTGATTTGCTATGAATTACTTACTTTCTGAAAAGGGCAAACATACACAGAGATCCTCCCAAAATCAAGGCAGTTATCTCATCGAATTAAGCTTGATCAGCAGGCAAGGTAAACTATTTCATTTGGACTTACTCTATAAATGTATAACAAAGTCTATCTGCAATTTTAAGAGAGACTAAATTTTAAGTATTAATATAAAATGCAAAGATTGGAAGCACGTTCCCTCGCTGTGGACTCAACCTAAAAAAAATCACAGGGAAACATTTTTGGGCTCCTACATCAGCGAAAGTATTTGCTAACTCGTAAATCACAATCTAGAAAATGAAAACAAATGTGACAGTACTATGGTATTAAGAGGTGTATTTTGTCCTTTTTTTTAAACAAAGAGAGTTTGAGGCAGAGTTGCTGTAATAATGGCTCTTTCAGAGGCTAAGAGTTTCCCGGCTGTGGAAAAAGTCACTTGGGGTGGTTTACAGAAGGTGTATATAAGGCACAGCTTTTGGAATTGGCAGACAAGCTAGAGTTGGGGTTGCCTTTGTTCATGCAAAAAGAGGAAGTAATTTCACCAATAGCTCGACATGTACCATTGCCAAAAATACCATCGGAATCTTTGGAAATAGCTAAAATTCAATGGCAAATGAAGCAGCTTGAATTAGAGGCAATGGCAAGGCAAAATGAAAGACAGGCAAGGAAAAAGAAAGAGAAAAGGAAATGAAACAGTTTGAATTATGATTGAAAGCAGAAGAAAAACAGAGAGAGAGAGAAGAAAGGGAGCAAGAGCGAGTTTTTAAACTTCGGAAGTTGGAACTGAAAACTGAAAGTTGAATTAAAGTGGAGCAGGTAGATGCGGAAAGGTAGGAGTAGTGATGAGGACAGTGATGGAAAGCAATCTTATCATAGCCAAAGACCCGCTGGCGATCTATTTATATAGGTTGAGGCATTGGCTACGTTTAACAAGAAGGACTTAGAAGCATTTCTCAAATCATTTGAGAAAGTGGCTAACAAAAAAAACGGCCGGTGCCCATGTGGATATTGTTGATCCAAACAAGGTTGGGTATGTAGAGCTAGTGATTTTGGGTATTTTGGGAGTATCATGAGGTGAAAAAAGCCATCTTAAATACATATGAACAAGTTGCCAGAAGCCTACAGACAATGCTTTAGGAATTGAAGGAGGGAACCTGGTCAAAATTATATTGAGTTTGAAAGAATCAAACAAAGTAACTTTGATAGGTGGATAAGGGCATTGAAAATAGATCAGACATTTGACGCTCTTAGAGACACAATTATTTTGGAGGAGTTCAAAAATTCACCTCCTGAAGTAGTGAGAACTCATATGGAGGAGCAGAGAGTTAAGACTCCAAGATTAGCAGCGGAAATGACAGATGGTTATGAGTTGGTTCATAAATCACGGTTTGGCTTCAGGTATCAATTTCAATCCGTGAGGGATAGAAACTGAGGAAAAGAGAAATCCTCAGGTGGTAAGGGAAAAGGAGATCTCATTGGAAATAGTAAAGATAGTTTACCATAGTTTACAAAGGAAACCCACAAAGGGGGAAAGAGAAGTGTAAGAATAAAGCGTGTTTTGTTTCAAGCCTGATAGTTTGACCAATTGAATTGCATCCAGAACGCCTTACACTTGCCTGTAAAAATAAGAAAAAAACTTGGGGTATAGGCTATCTTGCTCATATATTTTGAGAGGATTTGATCTGGTCCATAACACAAAAGATGCATATAAAATGTCAATAAATATTCAAAGATATGGATAATATTGTACCCAAATTTACACAGTCATAAAGCGCAACAGAAACAAACTAAACCTGTTAGGTAGAGGCACATCCATGATCCATATACTCAGACCCTTGGCTTTCAGAATAGAAACTGTAATATCTGGCTGTTTCCCACAAGCTATTTTGGTTCAGAAATGGAGTCAAATTTCAATACTGAAATGTGACTTTCAAGTTAGTAAAGTCTCACTTATTATGGTAAGGTCATATGAACAGGAGTAGGCCTTTCAGCCCATTAAGCCTAATCTGCCATTTAGCTAGATCATAGATAACCCACTACCTCAGTACCAACTTCCCACACCATCTCCTCATTGATCATTAATGTTGTATATTTTATTTAATCATGTTTTTCTTTGCATTGTATTGCAAAAGCAGTTCTATTCTTATCTCTGATTTGCAATTTTTCTCAAAACTGAATGTTTAATTATTGCAAATATCAATACTTTCATTGTCAAGCCTCCTTACTATTATTTGACACAAAGAAGTGCATGTTTGTGACCACCTTCATAGTTTTTTCCAATTCTCCATTAATACAATATGAATAATAGCCAAGATGGTGATTCACTGCGAGGAACACCCAATGTGCTTTATCTGTCCCACATGACCAGCTGTGATGCCTCAACCATATCAAGAGGAATCCAGAACTGAAACTCTCAAAAATCTACTTAAGCAAGAGGACAGCATTAGGGAAAAAAAAACGCTGTAAATACCAAGGTATTTCCAATTTGCAAAGGTTTCTACAAGGGATATTCAGGATTTTAAAGAAAATAGGAAAATAAATTACAAATACTCTAGAGCCATAATTTTGCAAAGAATTATAGATTTAGAATTGTCTCTTTAAATTGTAATATTGCAAATATATTTCAAAAAGCAAATTAAAGATCTAACAGCTGCATTTGGAAAATACTGGAATCTGTATTTAAGTGTGTGACTGAGGACTGAGGGTAATTTGAGCTGATTGGAGACAGCCAATTTGAATTGTAAAGGGTAGGTCATGTCAAAAGACTTAACTGAACTTTTTGAGAGATAAACTTAAATAATAGACTGTGGAATGTCAATGAATGTAGTTAATATGAATTTCCAAAAGACATTTGGTAGAGTTTCATGTAAGAGGCTGCAAACTTTAATTAAAGGTGATGAAGTTAAAGACAATGAAATTCAGGGCAAATTATTGACCTGGATAGTAAATTTGCAAAACAATAGATGGACGACAGAGAGAATGGCCAATGGACACACTTTCAAATTGAAAGGAAGAAACTCATGGTGTCCCACAAGGACCTAGCTGGGGATTCAATTATTCATTCTGCTTAGCACTGACTTAGATAACTTGACAGATTATGTAAACCTGCTGATGACTTAAAGGTAGGTAGTATTCTAAGCAATGTAGTCAGTACAGTGAAGTTACAAAGAGATCTTGATGGATTAACTGACTGAGCAAAACTATGGAGTTGTTGGTTGCTTCGCCGAGCTGACTGGTTTTCATGCAAATGTTTCATCTCCCTTCAGTGCTGTCTAGCCTCCGTTGAAATGCTGTTGTTCTGACCTGCTGTGAATATATATGGTCCAGTCTGTCATGGTGGGTTGTCTTGTTTCTGGTTTTATACCATAGTGGTATGTGGATGGGGTCTATTTCAACATGTTTGTTTATCGCACTGGTGATTTAAAACCAGGCCTCCAGGAATCCTCGTGCTGGTCTTTCTCTCGCTTGTCCCAGTACTGTAACTTTGTCCCAGTCAAACTGATGTCCTTCTACGTCGGAGCGTATTGAAACGAGTGAGAGTTGGTCGTGCCGTTTTGCTGCGCGTTAGTGTTCATATACTCCATTCCGGATAGGAAAGGCAGTTCCAAGTACTTTCACAGAATCACTAAATTGTTATGGCACAGGAGGAGATCAGTTGACCTATCATTTCTACATCAGGTCTTCAAATGTGCAACATTACCTCATGTCAATCTCCCATTTCTCCCCATATCCTTGCACACTATTTCTATCCAAATAATCATTCCTCAGTTGAATTTGCTTCCACCCCATTTCCAAGTAGTGTATTGCATGCCCAAACTACTTGCTGAATGAAAAAGCTTTTCCTCACATCACTCCTGCTTCTTTTGCATTTTGTTTTAAAACTATACCTCTCATTCTTGTTGCTTTTACGAGCAAGAATAGTTTCTCCCTATCTAATGTATCCAACCTGCTCATAATTTTGAAAATCTCTATCAAATTGCCTCTCAGTTCTCCAAGGAGAACCACCCTCAACTTCTTAAATCTATCCTCATATCTGTACTTCCTCATTCCTGGAACCATTTTTATAAATCATTGCTGCACTCTCTCCTGCATTCATATCCTTCCTATAATGTAGCATCAACAAATGTATACAATATTCCAACAGAGATCTAACACGTGTCTTATACAAGTTCAATATCAACTCTTTGCTGTTGTATCCTATGCCGCTATTAACAAAGCCAAGGGCACTGTACGTTTTATCAACTCCCCTCTCCACTCATTCATTTTTAAATGGTAAACTACAAGATCCCAGTGGAGTTGCCACAAGTTTCAGTGATCAATGTATACGCATCACTATAATGAAATAGTGAGGTTCAAGAACAACTGAAAGCCTCATGGAATTTTAAACTTCACAAACCAGAAGCTGAATTATAAAAGGATGAGCTTTTGCCATACCTTTAAAAATCATTTTTCAGATAAGTATGATCCTCGGCATTACACCTTAGAAAGTAGTTACTGGCCTTGGAAGGATTGAAGCACAAATTGATCAGAATGTAACCTGAGCTCCAAGGCTGAAATTGTGTGGAGAAATTAACCAAGATGGTCTTGTATCCCTTCTCATGTGGAAACTTAAGGAATGGTTTGATTGAGGTTTTATAGGATTTTGAAAGGATTCAATATGGCAAATAGAGGGACACTTTTTTAAAAAATTATTCATCCACAGATGTGGGTGTCACTTGCTAGGCCAGTATTTATTGCCCAGAGGGCATTTAAGAGTCAATCACATTACTGTGGGTCTGGAGTCACATATAGGCCAGACCAGGTAAGGATGGCAGATTTCCTTCCCTAGAGAACATTAGTGAAACAGATGGATTTTTTCCAGAAAATCAACAACAGTTTCATGGTCATCATTAGTCACTTATTTCTAGATTATTATTGAAC